TGTGTGTGTGTGTGTGTGTGTGTGTGTGTGTGTGTGTGTGTGTGTGTACTACTTCACCAAAACACCAAGATGTGGATGGGGAGAGAGGTTAGCCAGAATAAGGATAATGGCTTGGCAAAACATTGAGGAGAGGTGAGACTATGGATCATGGTGAAAATGAATAGATTTGGAAGGAGTAGGGCATAGGGAAAGATAGAATGATGAAAGGGTATTATTGGTAAAGGAATGTCAGAATTTCTTGATCATGGATGTGAAGCACCTGTGGGTAATGGCAAGGTTGAGGGAATGACAATCTCTGTGGATATCTGAGATGTGGTAAAGGAGTAGCATGTGGTAGTTGAATAAATGGAGGAACTATGAAGTTAAGGTATTTATGAGAACATCAACATATATGTTGAAATTCCTTATTATGAAGGCAAGAGTTGGGGTAGTCAGGGATTGTGTAAGCCAGTCACTAATCTCACTGAAAAATGATGGAGAATGTCCTAGGCAGTAATTTGGTAATGACCATCAGGTTCTGGATCAGGTGATAAGTTTGGAGAAAGTGCGCTGATGCATGATGGTAGTAGAGGGAGAATCTGGAAATAGCACTGGAAGGTGAGTATTCTGATTCCCCTGCCAATGCATACAGTAGTGATCCAGTGAGGTGGAGCCTGTGAAGGGTCAGGGCCCCTCTGGATAGAGACAACAGCAGCAATAATCTGGGCTCAGCAATCCCAATTTTGTGGAGGGCCATGAAGGGATGGGCTATAGTCGCCTACAAACTTAATAAAAACCAGCAATCTGACCTAGTATCCAAAAAAAGCTAGTGGTCAGAACAAGGAAGGTGGTTGCTCATTTCTCTATCAAAATCTATCTGAATTGTGCTCAGTTAGGGAGGTAAAATTTCAGGATGATCATAAAAAACTGGAGCATGCAAAAAAGGGTGACTGGGAGGACTGAAGACCATGCCATATCAGGATATGGTGAAGGAATTGGAAATGTTCTGCCCAGAGTAGAGAGGGTTTAGAAGGTGGTGGAGGATCATTGTACATGATTATAGTCTTTAAAAATATAAAACATTGGGGCAGCTAGGTGGCACAGTGGATAGAGCACTGGCCCTGGATTCAGGAGGACCTGAGTTCAAATCTGGCCTCAGATACATAATACTTAGTAGCTGTGTGACCCTGGGCAAGTCACTTAACCCCACTGCGTAACTAAAAAAATAAAAAATTAAAAAAATTAAAATATAGATCACAATTAGAAAAACACTAATTGCTCATAGGTAGGCCAAGCCAATATAATAAAAATGACAATTCTACCCAAATTAATTTACTCCTTCAATGCCATACCAATCAGACTACCAAAAAATTATTTTGCAGAGCTAGAAAAAATAGTAAAAAAAAAAAAAACTAATCTGGAAGAACAAAAGGTCAAAATATCAAGGGAATCAATGAAAAAAAAATGTGAAGAAAGGTAGCCAAGTAGTTCAAACTGTATTACAAAGCAGTAATCATCAAAATAGTCTGGTACTGGTTAAGAAATAAAGTAGTGGATCAGTGCAATAGATTATATACACAATACAAAGTAGTAAATAACTATAGTAATCTAGTGTTTGATAAACACAAAGATCCAAGCTTTTAGAACAAGAGCTCACTATTTGACAAAAATTGCTGGGAAAACTGGAAAGCAGTTTGGCAGACACTAGGTATAGACTAATATCTCACACATAAACCAAGATAAGGTCAGAATAGATATATGATTTAGATATAAAGGGTGATGACATAAGCAAATTAGGAGAGTATTTTATCTGTCAGATCTATGGATAGGGAAAGAATTTGTGACCAAACAGAAGACAGGGAACATTACAAGATGTAATGTAGACTGAACCATACATTTTTTTTTACTTTATTTTTCTTGGGTTTTTTTTGTGGGGGGGTCTCTGTTTACTCTTACAACATTGCTAATATGGTAGTATGTTTTGCATGACTGTACATGTATAATCTATATCTATATCTAATATCTAATTGTTTGCCATTTCAGAGAGGAGGAAGGGAGAGAGAGAGAGAATTTGGAACTCAAAATTTAAATTTAAATTAAAAAAAATAAAAGTTACAAATTGTTTTTAAGTGTAATTTGGAAAAAAATTATATTTAAAAAAGTGTAGAACATTGTCATAAGAAGAATTAGCCCAATTCTTCATGGCTCTATCAGGTGGAACTAGGGACAATGAAAAGAAGATACTGGAAGGCAGGTTTCAATGAAATGAAAAAAAGAACTTCCTAAAGATAGAATGCACTGGCTCAGGAGCTCATAGGTTGGGCATCAGTGGATGTCTTCAAATAGAGGTTAGATGACCACTTACTGAGGAAGTGGTAAAGAAGATTCTTGCTTCAGCTAGGATTTGACTAAACAAATTTTCAGCTTTCAACTTTGAGAGTCTATATTATAACATTCTATGTTTTAAGGTCCCCTCTAGCTCTACCATTCTATATTTTAAGCACCTCCCAACTCTAAAATAATGTCAACCTTTAGAAGTAAACAGAGAATCAATAGAGTTGGAAAGGAGGGCGGCTATGAACTCTAACATTCACCATCAGCAATCAGAAACATTTTTTTAAACCTTTACACCCTCAGCATCTTATACACGGTAGTTAGTTAATTAATTTTTGTTGAACTAAACTCTACCAAATATAATGTATGGTATAAGTAAGAAACAGGATTTGATGAAAATACACCAGTATCTCAGATACCATTGAATTCTGCCCAAGATAAATGACTTTTCCTTTGTATATAGTAATTCTTTGCTCATAGTCTCCACTGAGGATGGGAAAGGTTCTTTGAAATCCAAAAAATGAGTGTTAAGTGCAGGACTTAGAAGAAAAGATCTCATTGATATCTATACTCCAGAGCATTTAATAAACATTTACTAAGTAAGCACTCACATTGGTTAGGCACTAGAAAATAAGACATACACACATATAATACATATGTGCATACACACATACACATACATGTACATATATACAAATATAATACAGAACCAGTTCTAAAAGAAAGCAGGGTTTGAGATCATTAATGCTGATGGTAAACTCAATCTGTTATATGTATCTTAACCAAATATGGTGATTTCTATCACAAGTGTGATGGAAAGAGGAATCAGCAATGTGGAGGGATGACTTTAGCTATAAAACACAGCACAGTACAGTGGAATTAACACTGAATTTTAATTCAGCTGACTTGAGTTCAAGATCAGAATTTGTCTGTCACTAGCTTCATGATCTCTGTGAAGTCCCATCCTCTCTAAGGGTATCAGTTCCCTCTTCTATAAAATGTAGATAAGAATAGTTACCTACCTCGAAGGGGTTGTTGCAAGGACCACATAAGGTATGGCATTCAAAATGTCTTGTAAAGTATAAGTCAATGTATAAATGTCAACTGTGATGATAATGATTTTCTTCTAGTTCTAATGCTCTTCAAGATGTACCTACCTTTTCACTATTTTGGGGAGGGGGGGGTTAGGCAGTGGGGTTAAGTGACTTGCCCAGAGTCACATAGCTAGTTAAGTGTTATATGTCTGAAGCTGGATTTGAACGCAGGTCTTCCTGAATCCAGGGCCAGTCCTCTATCTACTGCACCACCTAGCTGCCCCCCCTTTTCACTATTTTTATAGTGCAAAGCTGACAGTTAAGAAATTAACTCCAAATACTTTGAAAGAAAGGGCTTATAGTCTGTAGCTCCAATAAAAAATGGTGTAAAAATGGTCAAATTAAAAAAAAAGTCATAACAAACCTGTTATCAATCCATACTCTCACATCTTTTTTTTGTTTTTTTGTTTGTTTTTTCTTTCTTTCTTTCTTTCTTTTTCTTTTTTTTTTTTTTGGTGAGGCGATTGGGGTTAAGTGACTTGCCCAGGGTCACACAGCTAGTAAGGGTCAAGTGTTTGGTCTGAGGCTGGATTTGAACTCAGGTACTCCTGACTTCAGGGCCAGTGCTCTATCGACTGCACCATCTAGCTGCCCCATATAATCTCACATCTTGAAAGATATCTTTGAACCTAATGAGAACTGAACCTGTTTAAAGGAAGGGTCAGAAAGTAATGACAAAGTACAAGAAGACCTATGACTACAGACAACTCTTTCCATGATACAGAAAGTTAGATAACCTCTTTGTTACAAGACATTTAATATCAGGAGTGTCAGGTATATTTGATAAGTACTTTGATTTCCGTATAGATATATGCTATTGAATAGAATCACAGAATATCAGGACCCTAGAAGGACCCTTAGAATACAGAACATTGGAACACAAATAGAATATTAGAGCAGGAAGGACCTTTAGAGATCATCCAGTTCAAAACCCTCAATTTACAGATAAAGCTATTAAGGGGCTTGCCAGTAGTCAAATGGCTTCTAAATGGTAGAGCCATGATTTGAACACAATTCTCCTGATTCCTAGTCTGGTGCTCTTTCCACTAATCAGGTTAGCCTAGTGGAAAATCCTTCTAGCATTTGACATAGAATCAGTTTTTGGTTTTTTTTTTTAAAGATATAATATAAATACCTGTCCTTTTGCTGTATAATCCGCCAAGATGTTGAGCAGTTTATAAAATACTTCAAACCAGGGGAGATAACTGGGAAAGAAAAAGAAAAATACTGAAAGTAAGTGAAAACATCAAAACTCCAAACCATGATATATTTCAAGTCAAGTATATTTTTTTCAGTTTATTTAATGAACATTTAAAAGCACCTGTTAAATAAAGAGCATAGTGATATATGAAAAAGGAAAAATATAAGATAAATGAAATCTGCTATCCCTGCCTTCACCGATCTAACTATCTATGTCCTAAAAAGATCTCCATTTCATAAGCTACATTATAAAGAGATGGTTGAAATGCTAATCACCCTTTACTTATTACCTGTTTGATTTTTACTTAATACTTCAGGGACGGATCATTTCATTATCAAGGGTGGCAGTACTGGGGGCTGGAGCACAGGAGATAGCAGCCTCTCTGTGCTATAGTCAACAGTCTTCAAGAGTTGATGTGGCCGAAAAAATTAATTATACGTTAGCCAACTTTTTGGTGATGAGTCTGATAGAATTCAGGTAGGCTGGTTCTCAGATAAAAAGATACATAGTCCACCATTAGGGATCTATTCAAAGCTGCTTACATTTTAGCAGAAACTGTCAGAGCTTATGCTAGACTTGCGGAGCTTTTGAGAATACCTTGCCACCTTTATACCCTGATGAGATATTGAAGAACAGGCATTAGTAGAGGCCAATTATTATTTTTTTCTTTAAAGATTCTTTATAAAAAGTATAGGGCAAATAAGTACTCATCATGAATTCTTGCTATACCTGAAAAATGAAGAGATTTTTATAAAGAAGAAATTAATTGAAACACATATATTCTATCTTTGTATATGAAAACTTTTCATCTACTTCCAAGACCATCAGAAAAAAAATTTATATTTACCTATCATTATTGCATACATAATAATAGCTCCAAAACAGCACACATAAATACAAATCGCTTTCCACTTATGCTGTGTCCTATACACAGGTGTAAGTCCAAATGGCCTTAGAAACCATTTATAATAGCTGACATTTATATAATCCCTTAAATGTTGTAAAATGCTTTACGTACATTAACTCATCTGAGATTCACAACAATCTTATGAGGTAGGTAATACAAATATCAATACCTCAATTTTCCATATAAAGAAAGTGAGGCTCAGAATAATTAAATGACTTAGCCATAGTTACACTACTAGTTAGGTGCAGACGGCAGGATATTAACCCAGGTTACTGACATCAAATCAGGCACTCTCTGTACTCTTCAACATTGCCTCTTATCTTGGCACAGACTTACCAACCTCCCTCCATTGCCCTCTTCCCTGCATCGAATGAAGTCTTTGGAGGCACAATGATCACAAAGGAAAAAGGGGAAAAAGAGAATGGAGTCTTACTGGATAAGCTATGAATGAATTTCTGGCAATGGTAACCAACTCCATAGTACAGGAAATGTATTATCCATGTCAACTTCCAAAATTATCTGTGTTCCACATGTTAATAGGGTAAAATAACAGAACTTAAAAGTATGGATCAAAAGAAGATTAGGAGTGTGAGACAGAGAGATAGAACATCAGCATAAGAGTCAGACAACCAGTGTTTTAATCCTCAGTCTGTCCCTTAGTAGGTAGGTCCACTTCTACAAATGACTTGACCCCTTTAAGTCAGTTCCTTCACATATAAAAATAGGGAAGTTAGACAATCAATCAACAAGCATATATTAAGTGTCTGCAATAGGCCATTCCAGACACTGTACTGGCTGCTGAGTTTGAGATGCCTATGATATAAATAGTTCAAAAGGTTCATTATGCTTCATTAAAGCTCAAGAAAGACAAGTATATAGATTTGGTAGCCACTGCATAGAGATGAAAATTACATCCATGGAAGCTGATGAGGCTACCAAGTGAGGGGATATGGAGAAAAGGGGGCCCAGGACAAAGCTTGGGAATATACCTACAGTTAGGGTAAAAGGCATGGATAATGATCCAGTATAAAACACTGAAGAGTTGATAGAGAAGTACGTGGAGAACAAGGACAGAGCAGTGTCAGAAAATAATTCAAAGAGGAGAGAGTATTCACAAGGGTGGCCAGGCTGTAGGAGTAGGACAGGTGGAGGGTGGGACTAATCCAGGGTTAGGGTTTAGTAAGGTATGAGAAGCAATGTATTTGAGAGTATAGGACAGAGCTGAAATTGTTAACAGATCAAGATTTGGAAGGAAGGCCAATGAATCCAGATTAGAGATGATGGCTTAGGCAAGTACGGTACTAGGCAGGGGTGGGGAACCTGTGGCCTTCTAGGTCCTTGAGTGTGACCTTTTGACTGAGACCAAGTTTCACAGAACAAATCCTTTTATTAAGAGAATCTGTTCTGTGAAGTTTGGATTCAGTCAAAGGGCCACATTTGAGGACCTAGAGGGCCACATGTGGCCTCAAAGCCCCAGGTTCCCCACTCCTGGTACTAGCGGACAGAAGAACTGGATGTCACAGCGAGAACCTAAACCTTTGAATAAGTTTAGGAGGAGTAGAAGATAGAGAGAGGTGGAATTATCAAAGAATATGATTTGAAAAAGGAATTTCAGAGTCCCTGATGTTGAGAGTAGAACATTTGTGGGTGTTTGTAAGATCTTCCCTGTGAATGACTGAAGTGGCAGGAAGAGCAGATCATGGGACTTGAACAGACTGAGGAAATGGGAGGATGAAATGTTTAAGGGAACATCAACATGAACATTTAAGTCCTCTAGAATACAGGCCAGAGTTGGTGTGGAAAGGAGAGCTGTGAGCCAGGCGATGAGAAGTACCAGGATCTGAGTTATGTGATACATTTAAATTGTGAGAATCTCAAAGTTTAAAAAGTTACTGACTATATTGCTTCCAATGAATACTTCAGATGAAGCCTCTTAGGAATGAGGGCCATCATTCCAAGGCCAACATTTCCTTTACCACCATTTAAGCAATTCTTCATCGGAATTAATTGAGACAAGAAATAATGAGCATGTAGGGAATGTTGGGTAGATTGGTATATATCTTCTTTGAAATGCCTCCTAAGGAAATCCATTCACTTATTCATTAACTCAACAAACATTTATTGTTACAACCTACTATGTAAAAGGGGCTATAGTAGGCACTACAGGAAATACAAAGATAAATAAAACAGTTTCTGATATGAAGGAATATACAAAAACTATGTCAGGGAAGATGATATATGTACAGAGGTTTATACGTACTGAGAACCAAAAGTTATTGCTTTTCCCAATGTCTGTGGCCAGGGGGTAGGAGAAGTATTATTCCTCCATCCCGTAGACGTTTCAGGAGGTAGTCCCAGACAAAATTAAATAACATTTCCCAGATGCCCAAGGTTTTCTGAGGGATATAAGTAATTGAGGTGGAATGAAATACTCCTGGGGAAAGGAAGGAATTCCCCTAAGCCTCTAGATCAGTGGAGATGCTGATTTATAAGGAAAAGAGACAATATCAAACCACAATAATCCATTTTAAGCCATTAAGGAATTGGGGACAGGTATCTATTTGCAAGGCATAAGGGAAGATATTTCCTCTAGATTAGGGGTTCTTAAGCTTTTTTTTGTTTTATGTACCCATTCAGAAGTCTGATAAAGTCTCTGGACCCCTGTACAAAATAATGATTGTTGCTTATGTTAATTGAAAGAAACGTTAAATTTCAGTTAGAAGTTGATGAAATTAAAGATATAATGTTTTCCCATCTAAGTTCACAAGACCCACTGAAATCTATCCATGAATTCCTTGGGTTTTGTGAATCCTAGGTAAAAAAAAACAAACCTATTTTAGACTTGTGAGAGACTTTATGGGTCAGGTTAGGATCTGCAGTAAACTGAATCCAAGAGAAGACTTTAAAAACAGCTGAATTTGAGCCATGACACAAATGGACATCCCAGAGAAGAACTGATCTTTGAAAGAGATGGTACCACTGTCTTCTGGAGTCTCATTCTAAGTTAAATTCACACATCATCAACTGAGTTTTGCATGTCTCAAACTGAATGTGTGATAGGCATCTTAAACTTAACATGGCCAAAACAGAAATCATTCTATTTCCCCTTGAAATCCTCTTTCTCTCTCAACTTTTCCATTATTGTCAAATTACCCAAGTTGACAACCTCACTGTCATCCTTGACTCTTCCTTCTCACTCACCTCACACATCCAATCGGTGGCCAAATCTTGTCATTTCTGCCTTTACAACATCTCCTGAATATTCCCCCTTCTCTTCATTCATATCACCATCTCCCTGTTCAGGCCTTCATTACTTGACGCCCACACAATTTTAACAGTGAAATAGACCTAACAATAAGGAACACTGGCTTTCCTACCTCATCTCTCCCGACTTCAATTCATCCTCCACATAACTTCCAAAATGATCTTCCTAAAAAGTGGAGGCCTGACAATGTCACCTCCTTACTCAATAAAATCACATGGCTCTCTACTACCTTCAAGGTAAAACACAAAATCCTACATTTGGCATTGAAGGCTCTTCATAACCTCATCCCTTCTTCCCTTTCTGGTATTTCTACACTTTACCCTCCCTCACATTCTCTAGGATCCTGCTACATGGGCCTGGTCTTCACACATGACACTCCAGCCTTGGTTTTCATGCCTTTGTACTGTCTACCCTCTATGCCTGAAGTTCTCTCTGTCCTTCCCTACCTCATTTCCTTCAAGTATCAGTTCAAATCCTGCCTTCTGCAAGAGGATCAGCTACAAATGCCTTCCTCTCTGATATTATCTCCAATTTACCCTGCTGGGTAGCACAGTGGATAGTGTGTTAGAGCTGGAGTGAGGAAGAACTGAGTTCAAATTCTGCCTCAAACACTTAACTAGCTCTGTGACCCTAGGCAAGTCACTTAACTTGGGTCTGCCTTGGTTTCCTCATCTGTAAAATGGGTGATGTGGGGGTGTGGTGGTGGTGGTGGTGGTATATATAATAATAGCACTTACCTCCCAGGGTTTTTCTGAGGATAAAATAACATTTGAAAACTACATTGCAAACCTTAAAGTATTGTAAAAATGCTAGTTATTATTAGTACTCTGTG